ATCATTGCTATCAGTGCTGGTGGACATGGGAGAACTGGGAGGATCACTGCAGCACTCAGTACCATGCCAGCCTCATGTACGCCGATGGCTTGCCCTTCAGTATCATCAAAGGGGAAATGCACAATGCTTACATCTCTGTGGGCCTCTCCACCTTGGCACGGGTCTTTGGCACCATCTGGAACTGAGACCTCTTATCTTCCAGGGGTGCAGAATGAGCTAGCAGATTGCCTAGGCAAGTCTTTCTCCAGTCATCCCTAGTAGTCTCTTCACCTGGATGTGGCCAGAGGCATTTTCCAGCAGTGGGGAACTACGCAGATAGAACTGTTTGCAAATAAATACAAATAATTTCATAGCTTGGAGTATCTGAGGTATAAGATTTTTAAAATAAGCAGCAAAAGTAGCACATATTTCATTAGGGTGTGAGAGGATCTGCTTATCAACTGACCCCCAAATACTGCTTTACCTGCCTCCTAGAGGCAGCCTCTGTTAAGGCTGATTCCCTACTCTGGCACTTTGAGTGCAGAAGGTAGAGGCCCGCAAGGATTCTAAAAATAATACTAGCATTTCCAGGCTTGTATTAAACTCCCAAGGTTACAGCTTTTCTCTGACTTTGGATGGATAGATGCTGCCACCATCCAAGTGCAAAACCCCTTTGAGAACCCAGGAAGGTGCACTTGGGAATTCCTTCCTGTGGGGTACCCTCAAGCCCTTTCACGCACCCCCACCCTCCAGGGAAGATCTGAAAAAGAAAACAAAGGAAGTCAGCTGTTGCCACCAGCTAATTAAACAACATGTGCACAAACCTCTTAGGGCACAAAAATTTAATCCTGTTCTTAAAAGGTAAATTTTATTAAAAACAAAAAGAAAGAAAATACATCTGCAAATTCAAGCTATTGCTAGATTAAAAAAAAAAAAACACTTGCAAGGATTAAGCATCAAGAATTACTTTCTTGAGGTCCAGCTTAAAGGTTACAAGCAAATCAAAAGCATTTGGGGTTAGTACAGAGGAGTCCACAAGCCATAAAGAAATAAAAGAGAGAAACTTAACCGCGTCTTCCTAGACCTTTCCTGATATATTTACATATCTTGGGTTTCAAAGGAGTAGTTTCTAGGTACGATCTGATGATTCTGATGATAAGCTCCTACAGCATAGCTGCTCTGTCCCTTCTCTCCAGGAGAGCAACACAGACAGACAAAAGTGGAGTCTTGTTTCAATTTTAAAAAGTTCTAGCCTTCCCATTGGCTTTTTTTGGCCAGGTGACCACTCACTTCCTTTTACTTATGCCTGCAGTGAGACTTTTTAACTCTTTACAGGGAAAGCAAGTAGAGAACAGCTACTAACAGGGATTTTATAGCTGGCTGTCTGGCTGGGTCCATAAAAGGGAGCTATTTCTCTCCCCCCCCCACCCCCTTCATTTATCACAGCCTCTTTTTATATTGTCCATATCATTGAATTGGAAGCATTGAACAATGCCCTTTTTTTAACTGCTGCAACACAGTCTTTGTCCTGGAGAAGCAAGCAATTCATTTTCCAATAAAGTGAACTGTGGGACCCAACCCAGCTATCAAATATTTCTTCCGCTCATGCATAATCTGACTGTGTAATGCCAATTTCTGCAGATCTTGTCTGTTTCATTAAGGATTTAGAGATTAACATTAAATCTGTTCTAGTTAAGGCCTCACCTAATTTGCGGTTCTGAGGAAATTGCAGATTCCACAATATTAGGCTTCTACCACAATTTTGACAGTAACAGCCCCCACTGTGAGCCCCAGATGGCTGACAGCGGGAGCCCCTGCTGTAAGTCCTAGGTGGCTGACAGCTTCTTGAACTAATTCTCCCGTCTCCCCAGTTTCCTCTCCTCTTCTGCATTCCCCTGACTCTAAATCCACAAATGAAATACCAACTGTGACCGAGGTCCCAGTGGAGGCCAGATGAGGTCACTCAGTTAGGGTGAACTGCAAAGAATGGCGCAGACAAACCCCAAAGCTGGTGGATAATTTGGTACTTAAATTCACCAAGCCACCATAAACAGCTTCTTTATACCTTATTGGTTACTCAGAAGTTCAAACAACACAGTTCCCTTAAAGTAACCCAGCCTCAGGCCTCCATCCAGGTACCCAAGTCAAATATGATGAAGATTTCTGAAAATCTTATTTCATCATATAAAAGAAAAGGTTCTACCAATCCCAAAGGATCAGACACATTACCCCCCAGGTTAATGAATATTCCATGTCTTACCCCAAATACATGGTTACAGTCAATTCTTATTAACTAAACTAAAATGTATTAAAAAAAGAAGAGAGAGTATGGTTAAAAAGATCAATATACATACAGACATGAGTTCAATTCTTAAGGTTCAGATTCATAGCAGAGATGGTGAGCTTTGTGTTTGCAAAAAGTTCTTTCAGAAATAGTTCATAGATTACATTCTAATGTCCAATATTACCTTCAGGGAGTACCAACATTACTGGGACCTCAATCTTGTGACCCAAACTTCCCCCGATGAAGCTTAAGCAGATCTGAGATAACAGAATCAGGACCTAAGGGTCTTTTTATACAGTTTTCAGAGGGGTTGCCAGGTTAGTCTGTATCAACAAAAACAATGAGGAGTTCTTGTGGCACCTTAGAGACGCACAAATTTATTTGGGCATAAGCTTTCGTGGGCTAAAACCCACTTCATCAGATGCATGGAGTGAAAAATACAGTAGGCAAGTATATATATTATAGCACATGAAAAGATGGGAGTTGCCTTACCAAGTTGGGGGGGGGGGGGTGTCACTGCTAATGGGGCCAATTCAGTCAAGGTGGAAGTGGTCTATTCCCAACAGTTGACAAGAAGGGGTGATTGAATTGGCCCCGTTAGCACTGACCCCGCACTTGGAAAGGCAACTCCTATCTTTTCATGTGCTGTACTATATATACCTGCCTACTGTATTTTTCACTCCATGCATCTAATGAAGTGGGTTTTAGCTCACGAAAGCTTATGCCCAAATAAATTTGTTAGTCTCTAAGGTACCACAAGGACTCCTCGTTTTTTTTTTTTTTATACAGTGTTCTAGCATCCACTTGACCATGCAGTCCTGGGTAAACAATAGGCTTTTGATGTAACCTTTTGCTTTCTAAACACCACCAGTAATTAATTACACAAATGAACCTAGGGCAATTTATCTATCACAAACTTCAAAGAGACATATAGACAATGACATTATTTCACCCAAGATTCATCTAAATGTTAATATTCCCTTTTGATCTCTGAATGAGAGCTATAGTGACAGACAGGAATTGTCTGTTTACACCGGTAGCATTTAAGATACAATTAGAATTACTTCTAACTTCTAACAATATAGGTTTGCATTTCAAAGTTCTAGCCTACTTACATGAATGGCCCTCATTACCATTCACGTATCTTTCTAACATGACTTTAAAGGTGGGCTTTGGGTCATTCAGCCTGCAAGCTGTTTAACCATTTCTGGCCATGAGTTATATTTTGTATAAGATTTGTTGCAATTATATAACAGTGGTAGCAATAATGATTTGCATGGTTATATTTTAATCAGACAACATCACAACAACATAACATGTAAAACAGTCCCCAATGACTGTGCTTTGCTAATCCCTGCAATCTCCCCATAAGCACATGGGGTGTTTCTCTTGTAACCCAAAGGACATACATTCTCTACCTGTAGGACCTTGACCCTCGCCCTTTGGGACATATTGCTGTCTGATTATTTGAGTTATGGGGAGGGTTTATACGGACCTGTAGAAACTCCTTCCATTCCCGTCTCTGTTTTCTTTGATCTCCTTCAACCTTGAAACCTTGCCCCCCCACTCCTGCCGACATAGCTCTGTCCATACTTTTGCTGGTGAAACATTTGTTGGTCAGGGGTGTGTTTTTTCACACCCATGACTGAGAAAAGTTTTACAGACAAAAGTTCTAGTGTAGACATAGCCTCAGAACTGCCTCACCATCAAGTCATGGGGAACTGGCTGCGCAATATTGTGCCCACAGATCCAAACACCAGCTTTCTTAACCCTTTCCCTTGTTGATGAAAATTGGATAAAGAGCAAAATTAGGACATTCACATTGTTGGAGTCTGATTTTTCAACCAGAGTCCTCACATACGTCCTGTACACATTTGAATGCCAGCGACCGATTGCCTGTATCCCTTGTGCCCTATGAAATTACATGATGGGCAATCACCAATCTCTCCAACTTACCTGGTTTATCCCCTCAGCCAATTTACGTATCTCATGGCCATGTCCACCTGCAAAGTCACTTCGACATTCCGGTTCTGCTTTGTGGTTTCTCCATTTCAGCTTTCCACAAAGTTTGTTTCCTTCCCATCCTGTACATCTCTTTTCCCTTGGAAACACCACCTGTTTCTCCTGTCTTCCCCATCTCTTTTAGTCTCCTACATGGACCTATATTTCTTTCTTTTCCCCAGATGCAAGGACTAGGAGTCGTGCCATCTCTCTACTCCTTCCACTTCCATCCCTGATACCCCCAACTTCATAGATTATCCCAAGCATTATCCTTCTCTCACAATATTGCATATATCTAGACACAGATTTGTCCTACCTCTGTATCCCCTGCTTTTTCTAGCTACATAGGGCTCACTCTTTCTAAATGTGATTATAACACACTATATAAAAACTGGACAGAACAGGTATAATGCAGCTCATAATTAGTACACAGCACTGTGGAAGTGAATATGCAAATATAATGCACGCATAAGTGGCATATAGGCTGAATAATGAAATTCTACTGGGATTTGCATCCCTAGGAAGAACTCCAGAGAAAACCTGATCAACACCTGAAAACATCAATGACATTTTTTCCTTGTCTTCCTGATACTAGATTAAAAGCAGAAGCAAAGTGCTTGTCATATATAAATACCCAGTTAAAAATAAATCACTGCTACAGTAAGACTGTCTCCTTTGGGAAATTCCTCCTGGAACCCCACAGTCAGAGCAGGTAGTGGGGATTGTGAGAAGAAACATGTTTACGCTTACGCGAGTTCCTATCATTGCTGTAATCATTGCAGTTATTGAGATCAGCATAGGACTAGTGGGAAATGGATTCATTGTAGTCATTAAAGGCATGGATTGGATGAAAAGCAGAAAACTATCCTCATGTGACATGATCTTGAGCTGCCTGGGCATGTCCAGAAATATCATGCAGGGGGCAGCTGTAGTGAGTCACTCTTATTCGTTCTTCCGTACAGAGCCAGAACATTGGATAATTTATTTATTACATTCAGAATCATACAGATGTTTGCAGGCATTACCACTGGTTGGTTTGTCAGCCGCCTCAGTGTTTTCTACTGCTTGAAGATCGCTAGTTTTACCCAACGCCTTTTCCTTCAAATGAAGCAGAGGATCTCTGGAATGGTTCCACAGCTGCTCCTGGGGTCACTGCTGCTCGCCTTGCTCACCTGCATCCCTTCAATGTGGGCTAATTACGATTTTTAGCTTTGTAACTCAACAAGGAAGCTTTCAGAAAACACCACTGTATCAGATTTCAGAGGAACAGCCGTGTTAGTCTGTATTCGCAAAAAGAAAAGGAGTACTTGTGGCACCTTAGAGACTAAGGTGCCACAAGTACTCCTTTTCTTTTCACTGTATCAGATGTTAACTTAGAGGTCTCATATCTATACTTCACCTTTCTGGTCACTGTAAAGGGTTTCTTCCCTTTTATCATATTTTTGGCATCATCCATCCTGTTAATCATCTCTCCGTGGAGGCACACTAGGCACATGCAACATAATGCAGCCAGCTTCCAGGACCCTAGTACAGAGGCTCACGTAAATGCCATTAAAATTCTGTTCTCTTGCCTCATGCTTTATGTGTGCAGTTTTGTAGCTGACACTCTGTCTGTTTCCTACCTGTCTGACTGACAGCACCTGGAGTAGGTTCCATTGTGGTTCCTTTGTATCCTTCAGGGCACTCCATTATCCTGATACTAATTAATCCTAAACTGAAGCAGGCATCGGTGAAGATTCTGCATCATGTCAAGCAGCACTGGAGTCAACAAACTTATTAAGCACTGTCACAAGACACTAGAGTGACACTAGTACTCGTCTCAGAGGGAGAACTGGACTCAAACCTGGATTCCACATTTCTCTATATTTCTTCTCATCTTCATCCTCGATAGGTTTTTTTAATGTACCTTTTACTGCTGGTACCCTCTGGCACCTAATGGACTGACATTTGACTGTGTTTTCAGGAGTCCCAGTCTCAACTCTGCTGTTATTTTGCTATTGAGCAAATCACATTACCTCTCTTTTCCTCTGTCCACCAAGTTTAACATGGGGAAAATAACACTTACCATTCTTTTTATAGCACTTTTTGATCTTTGGATGAAAAGGATTTACATAATTACTACTTTTATCACTATATACAGATATACTCATCTACATTGTGAAATGAAACCTCAAACTTCCTGGTGAATGTCTTTCTTCTTTAGTATATCCCTACAGGTGTCAGTAAAATCAGAGAGAAGGAATTTCCATTTTCTTTAAATTTTTGTGAAAGCATCCGGGTGGAACAAATCTTGGGTATAATCATGAACAAGAGTCCCAGAGCTCCTAGGCTGGATGAAGATTGGCAGAACTGTTGTCTTAGGACATGAGGAGCTGTTCATATTCTGACATTCTGTAGAGAAAAGGAGACAAATGTTGACAGAATCCACCATGAACCTGAGGACCTCCCAAAGGCTGGTGTCTGAGGAGGAGAAACAACAAAAACACACCTGTCAAAAGATATATCACTGGTCCTTTATGTTTATACATAACAAAGCTGTCAAACTTGGTGGGATAGAGTTCTTCACCTGAATTTATATTTAGGAATAAATGTGACCTGATTTTCAGAGCTGCTGAGCACCATCAGCTCCCATTAATGTCATTAAAATCTATAGGTGCTCAGAAGTTCTGAAAATCAGGTCACTTTTGGTTAGGTTCCTACTAGAGCTTGTTGGAACATTTCTGATGAAATGTGTAATCAAAATTCACAGCACACTTTGGTATTTGGGAATGTAAAGATGTTTACTCTGGTCCAAAGTAATTTCTCTAGTCATTAGTATGATTCAGCTGGGATGATGGACTTTACATGTGTTAATTATACTGACAAGACCAATAGCAGAAAATTATCTTCTTCTGACATGATCCTGACCTCTCTATGCATGTCTAGATTTACTTAGCAATAGTCAGTAATATTTCTTTTCCCTTTCTCTCCAGAGGCATTTGAATGGGGTCATGTGCCTTAATTGTTAAAGAGCTTGTGGCAAACACTGCCAGGTTCTGGTTCACCACAAGGGCCAGTATTTTCTACTGCATGAATATCACCAAATTCACCCAACTCCTCTTCCTCTGAATGGCCTCCACAACTCTGGGATTTCCTGGGGTCACTGCTGGTCTCCTTGCTTGTCTCTGTCCCATTAGATTGGGGTAATCTCAGCTCTCATCACAGCTTTTCAGGAGGGAATCTTCCAAGCAATAGCACTGTGGCTGACATGAACTGTGCTCCATCCTTCTGCATGTCATGTGATTTTTTTCTTCCCTCCATGACATTTCTCATGTCATCCATTCTGTTAATCACCTAACTATGGAGACCCACCAAACATATGCAACACAGTGCAGCCACCCAGCTTCAGAGACCACAGCACAGAAGCTCATGTAAATGCCATTAAAACTCTGTTCTCTTTTTTTATTCTTTACATTTCCAGTTCTGTAGCTATGGCCATATATCACTTACATAATAAAGGCTGCATATCCTTCAGTTTGTGCCCATCATCTTGATTTTATTTAATACCAAATTGAAACAGGTATCAGCAGGGATTCTACATCATACCAAGTGCTGTCTGAAAAAAGTGATGTGCTAAACCTATTGCAAAACCCTCAAGAGATACTATCCACCTTGTAGCAGAAAAAATTAGGATCACACCTGGATTCCATATTCTTTTGTATTTATTTTCTTCTCCATCCTGTTCCCCAATAAAAAAAAATTCCAAGCAACTACACCTTTACAGAATAAACACTATAAATACCTGAGGTTAGAAATAAAAATCTGAAATTTCCTGTTATGTTTCTCCTTCAGGACAGCATTAGGGTATATTATTTGCACTCATAGGTATGATTTCCATTTCTCTCCAATATTTGTGTTAATTATCTGATCTTTAATGTGCGGAGCAATCCTTTTATATAACCATGAGCAAGAGCTCCAGAGTTGGTGAGTGGCAGGGAAGCAGGACAGTTTTTGAAAAGAATTTGGCAGAAAAATCCATGTCTGGGCCAATGCTTACTCTGTTAAAGAAATAGGCTTTTCTGTTCCAGGGTTTCTGTAGGTTACAGATGAGATGAGAAGCCTCTCTTTTGCCATCAAACTTACTGCTCTGCTAGTTTCTGCTTCACTGTGTAAGACATGCAACCCCTAAAACTCCACAATACCACTTGCCTAGGGTCTATAGCAGCCATGTTGGCAAAGGCTCAGGATTCCATTTCCCAGATTGCCTGGAGTCCAGGGTGGAGACAGAATGGGCTAGCAATACTACCAGAACCAATCATATGCCAGAACTCAGAGACAAAGAGCTTGGTTTTGCTTTTGGCTTTTGTATTTGTTTGGAGACCCATGTGTGATGAAAGAAAAAATGATATCTCATTTCTGCACGGTGTTGTGTAAATTGTGTCACTAGCAGAGCACAGTGGTGTTCTTACCATGGGAATTGTCAGCAATTAGGTCAGAGATGAGACAGCATATTGTGCATAAGGATGAAGTGATAGTAAAAGAGGTTGAAGTGGTTGTAAAAATTAGCAGCTCTGGTGTTCTAAGTGCTTGAGTGTAGGATAGGTGTAGGTTCAGTACAGTGAAAGGGCAGAATGTGAGCAAGGGTATTATGGGTGTTGTTAGAGAGCTTATTCCTTCACTCTCCTACTTCCCTGGTCCTTCTCACATGAACAGAAAGCAACAATACCCGAAGTCCGAAGGTGCAAACAATTCGATGTTTATTGGAGTGAACATCCCGCAAGCTTAAATCCAAGTTCCTTTTTCCTTATTTTCGAATCCCAATTTACTTCCTGTTTGCTCCTAATTTATATAGTAATATTCTTAGCTATACCTTAACCAATCATTCTACTGAAATTTACCTAACCAATCCTAACATACTGTAACATGATTAGCTAACCAATTATATCCCACCACCTTAATTAGTTTACACCCAGGAAAATTAATTATACAGCAGACAGAAACAATCACAGAACCAGACAGAGACCATGCAAATAAACAATAGCAAAGTGGGAACTATAATGACAAAACAATACAGAAGTGAGGATTTCACAACTACATCTATAAAGACATAAGGGTTTTCCAGCTGTGTCTATTGATAAGTGAGTTCTTACCAGACAGAAAACTATCAAACTAAATTTCCTTTACATCTTCTAGGCTCTTCCCTTTCTCTGGAGGTGATAGATTGGATCACCTTCCTAACAGCCCCATATTGACTAGTTTGGAATGTGAGGAAGTGACCGTTCGCTTCCCAGCGTATGGCTGCCTCTGCTGCTTAGCCAAAGGCATTGGCCTAAGAACAGGGCCTCAGACTGTCACAGTGAGAGAAGGCCCTTACACAGATTCTTTCTTGTTTCCCTCTATTATTAGCTAAATGATAAACCTATACCTAAATTCTTGAAGTATAGGCCTTTACAGGCAGGCCTGAATATCTATATCCTAACAGGTATATTGGAGTATTGCTCAAAAAGGGCAGAGTTAAGGTTGCATGGACACTAACTTTATATTTCCTGTTTTTCAGAAGTGTTAGTTTAGCTGAACTTGATGATCTGGAAGGGCATGAGCTACTACCTGGCAAACTTAACTCTGTATTAATGAAGTTTTTGTCAGTGAATGTTCTAGGTTTTTTAACAGAAAGAACAAAGTTATAGGTAGGAGTTAGAGGCACAGTTGTAGTTATCATGTAAGTTTGCAGCTGAGATACTCCTGTGGCCAGGTAATGAGAATAATACCTAGCTCTTAAATACTGCTTTTCATCAGTAGATATCAAGGAGGAAAACAGCATTATTCCCCTTGAATAAATGGGGAATCTGAGGCAAAGTGACTTGGACAAAGTCACACAGCAGGCCAGTGGCAGCTTTTATTTCTAAGTGCTACATCCCACACCTGTAGACTTTATTATAGTGGAATGGGGATATTGGTCCTGCTTTGAAATGTGTGGAATGTGTAGTTGCTAACAGGGCCAGTGAGAGAAATCTCAGATATGGCCCATATCCTAAGAACTTGACAGTCTTATTATATGGGGATTATAAGAACTGTACAATGTGGCAGAAAACTGTTGCATGGCTCACTCTTTCCACCTTCCCCCATAACTCTCTGCACCACATAGCCCCCTGCCATAATTTCCAGCTCAACTTCCTTTCCGGTCCCATTATTCCATTAGAATTTCAGAAGGTGTGCTCACAATAGTCTGAACTTCATGAAATGCAGGTTTTTTTAGGGGGCTGTGTTGCAGGCACCTATTGGTTAAATGACTCCCGATTTTTCTCACTAACCCTAAACAGTGAACCAAATTCCAAGGTAATCTAAATAACCATGCTTATTTTAGAGTACTTAGAGTCAAATTGGAAGCAAAAAGTTGGTCTAGAACTTAACTATTGTAGACCTAGCAGTCCACCACAGTTTACTATCTGTATATATAGAGTTTCCTTTTCTTGTTAGCTTTAAATAACTACTTATTTTTAGTTCTAATATCATAAAATATAATGAACATAAAAGTCTTGGGGCCATACCCATGGTTAAGTTATCCTTGTCAACAGTCATTGGCAAACAAGGAATTTATACTTTGGCAGATCTACATGTTGTATTTCCTTCTGAGAATGGTAAATTAAACTGAGCC